AATAATAATAACCGTACATTCACTCGATGATAATTATACCTCTCTTTTTTTTTAAATTACTGTCTAGAAACTTCAAAACATCAAACAAATTATTCTTCCAAAATATAATGATACAGAAGATCCAGTCGTACTATCCCTTGTATCTTGGTTCGTATTAAGGTTGACCGGACGTTTCCTTTCTTTAGAATATTTCCATAGTAAAGACATGATGAATTAACATCACTGATTACACATCATTTTGGAAGTAGTGCTTGGAACATACATGTGAATATTAGCGCAACTAGAATGGTTGATATAAATGAAAATTTTCAATGACAGAAACGAATCTTTTAAAACTCCTACTATGTAACGTGACTTTTTGTGTACGAGATTTCGTTATGTATATCAACATCCAACTGACCCATTGATTAAAGATCTTTATAAGTCACGTAGTAAACTTAATATCGAAGCAATAGCATGAGAAATACTACTGCACAGTCTCTGCCATTAAAACTATATGGAAGAAGTCCTTTGGCTGGATTTGGTTACAGAACTGCTTTTCATGCATCACATATTTATGTAGTATTTTTATATTTTTTTCTTTTTTTTAATCTTTTTGTTACTTTTATTACATTATAATGTAAAGCAAACCTGTAATCCATTTCCAATACAGAAAAGTCTGCATTATGTTCATTTTATTTATCATAATCGACTAATTATACTCACAGAAAGAAAGAGAGTAGAAAGTGTAGTTTGTTAGGGCAGAATCACTAGTAATTTGTTTGTTTCTTGTTCGATAGAATGTATCTAAAAATCAAATTGCTGCCTTAATAATAATATTACTTCCAGTACTTACTTCAGAGAAACTTCCACGTACTTGTACGTATGCACGTATGTGTTAATGTGTACGCTATGTATATGTATATATATATATGTGTGTGTGTATATATATATATAATATATATATATAGAAAAAAAAGAGAAAAGAAAAAAGAATGTTACCAGAGTCAATAACATCGAAGAACAATCTTTGATACCACTGACATGATAATTTGTGTAAGAAAAATATTAACATTTCTCTCAAAGTTACGCACGTTATATTTATACTGTATTGTACTGAGAATAAAACAAAAATCAGGCAACAACAAACTATATTTATCTCTCAGTACACTCACTTATATATTTTCTTCATAGTTTCACATAATCATTCACTTGTTCTCATATTTCTTTTCCTATTTGTAGAATACATATAACATTTTATACGATGTACTCAATTACCCCGAATGCTTAAGAATAGTCAAAATGTTCTCTCTTTCTTTCTATGAAAACTGTTTGTCGGATTTTCGAGTAAATCACACATTACACCGTTACGTGTAATCTTTTACAAAGGTCTTCGGGGCAACAAAACCTTTATTTCAATTATCATCAACGGTGAATTAAATAGATAATGACAAAATAAGAACAAGCCACCTCTGGCTGATCTCACTTGGATTTTGAGCCCAAAGAGATGGATCAACCAAAACTCTAAGCATTGAGAATGCACTGAAGTTTTCACTGATCAGTGAATTCACAAACATGTAACCATGGCATTGTCCTTTACTCGTGTACGATACGCTTGTAATCGTAAATCTCCTCTTTAGTGGAAACTTAGAGGATTGATTGATTTGACTCTTTGCATGGCATTCGTACAAAGTTGAGTACCTGGTCTTGGACACTTAAGAGACTGCAAATAGGATTGATGCAAAGGTAAGTAGTTATAGTTTTATCCTTTCTGAAACAAAAAATAAGTTGTAAATTAATTATAGTTGAATACATGTTATAAAAACTTATTATCATAAATTACTAAATTAATATTATAATATTAACTTATTATTTTATGTATATATATACTGAAAAACTAAAGATAAGGATTTGCAACATAGAAAAGAACACCTGGTTGAGTGTTGGTCTGAGAAGGTGGCTGACCTTGGGCTTGTCCTTGCCCCTGAGCATTTTGATTGGACTGACCTGGAACACTTGCACCTGTTCCAGAAAGGATACAAGATTTTTGTTTTAACATTGTCCAATCAAAAGTATAATCATATTGATGATTCAATGTACGGAAAAGTATACGGAAAAGTTGACGAAGATACATATAATCTGGGCTTTCTTCAAAACGTAAACCTCGCGTATAATTTAAATACATTGCGAATTCAGCAAAATCCCTAAATGAAAAATTAAAAAAGTATAAGTAGATTTCAATAGCGTACTTAAATTTTATTCGAAAATATAAGTTCACAAACATAAAGCGTACCTTACATAAAACTTCTACAGGCGTCGACATCTTTTTTTCACTTATTTTTTCATATTTCTGCTTTTTGGTAGCAGCTTTAAGCCCTTGCCAAGGCAAAGATCCTCGATTGAAATACATAAGCACATAACCGAGTGATTCCATGTCATCACGACGGCTTTGTTCTATTCCGAGATGCGCATTAATTGATGCATACCTTGCTGTGCCTGTTAAATTTTTATCTTCCCGATATAATATATGTATTCTTGTACGAGTATCTCTATATTTTTTAGCTAATCCAAAATCAATAAGAAACAGCTGTAAGTTTAAAAATAATCAATATTACATTTCAGTAAAAGCTAATGCATAAATTGCATGAAAAACTGTGTTTAGTATTGTTAAGATCATACCTTATTACAGTGACGACCAATACCCATTAAAAAATTATCTGGTTTGATGTCTCTATGAATAAAATGCTTGCAATGAACATATTCAATCCTACCAACCATTTGGTCTGCCAACATTAAAACTGTTTTAATCGTGAATCTTCTTGTACAAAAAGTGAAAAGGTCTTCAAGGGATGGACCAAGAAGATCCATAACAAGTACATTGTACTCTCGTTCTTGCCCATACCTATATTTAATGAAAAAATAAATTTCTATGATACTGTATTTTTTTATACCAAAACTTATTATCTTTATAAAGTTAGTGCATACTAAATACGAACGTGTATAGTTAAATGTAAATTCTTAACACTTAGCCAACCGCGTGCGCCACAGCCAACTGTATGCTTTCCACCGCGCATTTCTGGCAAGTTACGCATACTAATCTTCATTAATTAAAGGACACAAAGAATACATAAAGTTGATTTTAACTGATTAATTATATTTGATGCTAATAATCCTATATTAGACATAGTTTATATAAAACATGAAATTAAAAATAAATTACATAATTAAACATTTTTTGTAATTGAATGAACGGAAGCAGATACTTCTCCTACAGTGCACAAAAATAGAACAGAAGACTAACGAAATAACAAAAGAGAAACAATAATTAAAATACAAGGTAACACATTGTAAGGAGAAACGTGGAAGACATCTGCAGTCGGGAGCGCAGCGTCTCGAAACGGGGAGATTTCCCCATTCAGTCGGGCAGCGACTGACTTCGAAACGGAGGTTTGATAAGCTAAGTGTTAACATAAAACAAAATCGTTTAAAATAATAATTACCAACGTATATGAGGTATTCCTACACCACCATGTAAAATTTTGTACAACTTTGACTCATATAGAAGTTGTGGGTGTCGAGCACGTATGCTCTCCAATTTAACAGCAACTTCCTAAAATAATATAATATGCATAACATAATTCATTATTGAAAGAAATCAATATATTCATGGATAAATTATTACAATTTTAAAACATCTCATCTTTGATATATCCTTATTTTCTCATAAAATATCTATATACGAACAATTGAAGTTTAATAACACTAATTTATAAATATAGTATCAATTTAATTTATACTGTTTATACAATTTAAAATTAACAATTTTATATTAGTAATTAAATATAAATATAACTATTTTTGTCTAACATCTTTTAAATAGATACATATATTATATGTATATACACTACTGACCAAAAGTTTGGGCACAACTTACTGTTTTCTAGAACATTTTTGATTTTCTCTGTAATAATTACATTACATATTAATGAATGCTTTATTTTTTCTTCTTAATTCTATGTAGATAGGTAAGGAAAGTATTTAAAAAAGAATCATAATATTTGGAAATTGCATTATACATTACTCAATTTTTCGCTTGTCAAACTAACTATCTCTTTCCTTGATAAACTTTTGCTCTTGAGTTTACCAATATTAGAGTCATATAAAAGTACTGAAATGACATTTATTAGAATTACAGACCACTATGCAGGTATAAACAAATCTGAACTCAATCACTGTGTCACAACCATGTGATACCATAAACAATATCAGCAAGTATCAAAACAACATATTACTTAAAGAGAACTGATGTATCTTTATTTCTACTCAAATAAGATCGTGTATATAATATACAATAATTAAAAAATGATAAAATATTCAAGCTTACAGTTTGGATTTAAATGTGGAATATAAATATAGCAGGTGTACCCAAACTTTGGGATATTCTGTATCTTTGGGCTATATACAGGGTGTCAAAGTTTAATCGATAAATGAAAATTAGTTGTAAAGTATTTACCGATTAGAAAAATGTTTCAGACAAGAAATAAATAATTTTGAGGGTTGCATAAAATGGTGTAATTATCTTTTCTGTAGGTGGATGCATATAATTTATATGAAGAACAACTTTGGATTTTTAAATGGAAATGTATATTTTTTAATGCACATTCAATTTAGCTCATTATTCTCCATAAAAATGTATTATCCATCTATGTAGAAAAACCAAAAGTATAGGAAATATTTTATTTCAGTATTTGGATACCTATATCTATTTTCAAATGTAGTAAATAGAAAACAGGCTACCAAAAATTATGCATTTTCTAAGTATTCGAATGCTCTGTCTTCATTGTCAATACACATTTGTATTCTTGTTTTGAAGTCTTCCAAGAATCAACAACAATTGATCATATAAAAAATCAGTTTAAAATGGTATATCACAGTAGTTCACCAGAAATGTTCAAAGCTACTTACGAAAACTTCATAAAAAGAATACAAATGTGCATTGACAATGAAGGCAGTTTCTACATTTCAAAACATACAGGTATCCAAATATTCAGATTGAATTATTTCCTGCACTATTAGTTTTTTCACATGAATGAGTAACACATTTTATGAGAAATGATGAGTAGAATCGAATGATGCATTAAAAAATATATGTTCGAATTTAAAAAACCAAACTTGACCTTCATATGACCTATATGAATCCATTTATAAAAAAAATAATTACAACATTTTATGCATCCTTCAAAACCACTCATTTCTTATTTAAAACATTTTTCCATTCAGCAAATAATTTACAAATAATTCGCAATTATCGATTAAATTTAGACACCCTGTATATATGTATAAATGTTATTTGTAACAGAAAAAATAATTGTTTCTAGAAACAGTCTAAAAAAAGTATTTGCTATATCTATTTTATCACAATCATTATAAATATTTATATTTTAGTTACAAACACTGCTTTACGATTGATACATATAAATAATACATACATCAATATTCTTTTTTACATATAGAGGTTAATCACATTGCAAAAAGTTGGACGAACATTCGTAGTTAAACAAATGTATTCGTAAAATTTTTTAAAATAATCCAATTCGATAGATCGGTCGAATAAACGTAACTTTACTGAAATGAAAAGTTTACAACTTGCAAATCTCCAAAGAAAAAACAATTAATATTTCACGTAATCAACAATAATATCATAAAAAACATATTTTGTAAGAAGTTTAATCGTGCTATGATAAAAAAAAACTTATTCGTAGTATAAACTGTGTGAATAACTTGTTATGAAGGGAATGAAAAGATAAAAAGGAAATAAGGAAGACAAGGAGGAAGATGTGCTGGCAGGTCGTCTCACGTGAAACGGTACTCCTTACCTCACCATTAGAGACGTTGATACCGAGGTAAATATCACCGAACGATCCCGAGCCAATCTTCCTCAATAGCCTGTATTTGCTACCCACGATAAAATCAGTCTTTGCTACTGACATCGCCAACGCCATTGACATATTTCTTTTAGCTTCCCTATCTCTGAACTTCCTCCGCTAGAACCGACGGCGGACTCTGCGACTGGCTCACGTCGGAATCAAACCTGATTTAAAGTACTAAGCGTACTCGATAAAAGTTATACGCCATTTACTGGCAAACACAATGATGTCGAGTCTTCTCGAAGTCGTATTGATGGAGGATTTTCTTCGGTAAAAATTTGTTCAGGAAATCGTAGCCAAGAGTCCCTCTGTAGTGGCACAACAAAATCCCACTAATACGCCGACATTTTCCCTTTCGCTAGAGGCACGAGAGCAACTGACGTTGCGGAAACGATGCGTCACGACGGGCGGCGTTCAAGTCAGAGTCCTTTTCAACGGGTTACTACTAATTAATTGTAATACCTTTTCGACCGAATTATCTGGAAACTTGATATTTTAATGAAGAGAAAAATTTCGTACAACGTATGTGTGAGTTCAATATCGCCTTGAAATTTTATTGTACAAAATGACTCGCTTGAATTCGCGGTACTAGATTTTCCTCAGGGCCGTATTAATGTCACTACAATTTCTCAAATGTATAACGTCTTTCATTTAGACAGTGATGTCTAAATCAAAACATGTGTTATTAAAATGTGATTTTTCTTCCTGATTTTCTTCATTTCACAGTTGTTTAACGTTTAATAATAAAGTTCATCGTTTAAAAACTATATGAAAGCAAAGAATGAAAAAAGGATAAACGAGAGTATTTTATATTTTCATATTTACTGTTGAATATTTACTTCTATTATTTTTGTTTTTTCTTATCATATGTGAAAATAACAACGAGTAAACAAATAAAAAAATAATTTAGCTGGATTTAGTTTTTTACTTTATACTATGGTACTTTTGTGATATTTATTATCAAGAGTACAAAATGAAAGACTACAGACTTTTAAATAGTTTCTTTATGAAGCAAGTAATTCAGTGATTGATTTAAAAATTTGTATTCATATACGAGATATACGCATATGCAGTATTACAAAAGATACGTATAATTCTTAAGATACATACATATGTGTATATATTGTAATATAGGTCAAAAGTACAATTATTTTTTAAAGACTACAAATTTGTATGTAGATACACTACTGATTGTACCGGAACTCAGTACTACTTATTAGATATTAATATGAAATGCTTTTTGCATTTGTTATTTATTGTTTGGTTTAAACAGAAAAAAAATTTGATTAAAATATATATTTCACGTACTTGTTTGTGATTTTGAAAATAATTAGCGAAAAAAACATTAAATTTCGTAAAATATTCAGCGACATCTTAAGAGGTTCATGGTTAGATGAACGTGTTATAAGAACTTTTTTTATATGTATATTACTGAAATTGATATTTAATTAAATACTGAATATTTAATGGCAATTCTTTTGTCAAACACAGTACGGTTGCCAATGTTAATTTGTATAAAAAATATTTTTTTTGGTACAAATAATTATCATACAAGATCCATCATGACAACTTGTAAAAAACTTGAAAAAGTTTTGGAACATCTTGAAAAGAATCCTTTTTTTGAGAAATATAGTAATAAAATAGCCAAGTTGCAACAAACTAAGTCAAATGAATTTCTGCAGCGTGCTGAAAACCAAGAAAAATTGCAAAAAGCGAAAGGTACAGTAACCTATACAACATAAATATTTGACGTTTATATGCATATATTAAATGAAATTTACTTATTTTTCAATTGTAATTATATATTTATTATTATTTAAAATCGATTTTCTATGTATTTTGTGTAAAAATAATGTGAGTGTATATAATAACATGCTATTTTAAATATCAAATCTGACCATTTTTTGATTGTAATCATTAATTGTAAGTATTACAAGCATTAATTTGGTTTTTTGATGTATACAATATTCAATTGAAGAAAAATGGGAAGAAGAGCAAAAATTTTATCAAAGCCAAGCAAAACCAAACTTGGGTGAAAACCAACAACCTCGACAAGCACAATTAAATAATATAATGAAAGTAGATATGATTCAGGATAAAACAAAGGATGAGATAATAAATATTTGGAAAGATTATCATAAAGATAAAAATTACATATGTGGAATATTAACACCTGACCAATTTGATAAAATGTTTGAAAATGGAAAGCATTATCCGACATTTTTGTTGCCATTACCTAGGAAACAAGGATACGAGTTCATTGTTACTCAATTTTATGGATTAGAAATTCATATGACACCACTTTTGTGGTATCAAGCACATAAAGAAAATGCACCAGAATGTTTAACTATGATACATTACACAGAATTTCGAGATAATAAAGAAATTATTCTTATGAGAGGAGAATATGATGAAAAATGTATTAATGGGCAAGAAGCACAGTGCTTAGTAAATGAGTTACAATTATATTATTGTGCAAATAATGCCAAGAGATTACAACTGTTAGAAACCTTTACTAATAAGCCTGATAAATTTAAATATATGGATCTTGTGGCACAGCTAGAATCAATACAACTAGTATTACATAATAATTAAATATTTGAATATATTATTTATTGTAATTATATAGTATGTGGTACTATAGATAATATTGGGCATGTACATAATGTTCTTAAAATAAATGTTAAAGTAAAAAATTATATCAGATTATTTATTCACTACAGTTATAACTACACTTGATTTTTAGATGTTTTGTATGTTATATATTTGCAATATTTTGAATAATTCTAGTATACATTAATTTCAATTCTAATTACAGTTTATTTATCAAGACCTTATCATATTCAGACTTTATGGACATATCCATTCTTAATGATAAGAACACAACCATCATGGACTTCTATTAAAAAAAGGAATTTTAGTGATCATGCAGTTAAAAACATATATATTACTACACCTATTTTTTATGTTAATGCTGGTATGTTATTATAAATATAGAATTATCTGTTTCATAAATATATAGGAATATATATTATGACACTATTAAAACACTGATTTGTCTTCTTTTTTTTCTTCTTAGGACCTCATATTGGACATCTTTATACAGCAGTTTTGGCAGATGCTATAGCCAGATTTAATGCTATGCTGGGACATTCTGTATTTTTATGTACCGGTACAGATGAACATGGCACAAAAGTTCAGAAAGCAGCAAGTAGCATGAATTTATCCTGTCTTGAGTATTGTACTCAAATTTCACACGAATTTCAAAAAATGTGTAACATGTTTCACATTGAATACTCAAAATTCATTAGGACAACTGAAGTAGCACACCAAGAAGCAGTTTATCATTTTTGGGTTATTAATATATTGAGTCATTAAAGTACTGATTCAAGTTTCTATAAGTTTGAAAAACTGAATACATAAATGTAAAATATTGCAGAATTGTTTAGAAAAGAATGGACATATTTATCAAGGAAAATATTCTGGCTGGTATGACATAACGGAAGAAGCATTTGTCTCAAACAAAGAAATACAGGAAAAGAATTCTACAAATATTAACTATACAAATACAGAATCCGGAAATACAATAGAGTGGATGGAGGAAGATAATTATAAATTTCGTCTTACTTCTTTTAAAGACAACTTATTATATTGGTTGAAGGATGGTTTGTATACAATTCATTGGATTTAATGAATTTGCTTTATTTAAAGGAAATTGTAATTTCAATTAATTTGAAATTACATGTAGAAAATGTGATAGAACCAAAAATATATCACAAAATGTTGATTCCATGGTTAGAGGATGTACAAGATTTAAGTATTTCTAGACCTATTAACAGGGTATCTTGGGCAATACCTACCCCTTCTGATGAATCTCATACAATATATGTGTGGCTAGATGCATTAGTGAATTATTTAACTTCATTGGGATATCCAGATAATTCATTTAGAAAATTTTGGCCACCAACTGTACAAGTAGATATTTTGAAATTATTCTACTATAGAATGAAACTTAAAATTGACGAAGTTATTGAAACAATTTAACAATATTTGTAAATTAGGTTATAGGAAAAGATATATTGAAATTTCATGCTATATTTTGGCCAGCATTTTTAATGGCTGTTGGTCTTGAACCACCAAAAAAGCTTGTGTGCCATGGACATTGGATTATTAGCGATAAAAAAATGTCAAAATCCGAAAAGAATGTAATTTCACCTTTTACAGCTGTGCATAATTTTACTGATGATGGTTTGAGGTATTTTCTCGTACGACAAGCAGTACTACATTCAGATGCAAGTAGGGCACAGAATGTACGATATGTTACAAATATTGTTCTTTATTTTGAAGATTAATATCTTATTTTTTGTTTGTAGATTATAACGATTTAAAAGTTCAGAAAGTATTAAATTCTGAACTTTCTGATACATTAGGTAATCTAGTTAATCGTTGTTTTGGTAAAGCTATTAATCCAGATGGTATAATATATAATTCTGCCGAATATAAAAGTATTCTAAAAACTGATGTAGCTCAGGAAAATATAAAAGCTTTAGAAGAATTAAGTGCAAAGGCTAAGGAATATTATGAGAAATATAATTTCTGTCATATGGTAGATACTGTGATGAATATGTTACACATTGCCAATAAGATGTTTGACTATTATAAACCATGGCATTTAAAGAAATCTGAAGATCTCGATTCTGTCAAGCAATTCGAAGCGCTAATGTCTTTAACTATGGAAAATTTACGAGTAGCTGCTTTAGTATTGCATCCTATTATACCAAAGTCAACTTCTAATCTTCTTGATTTTTTTCAAGTTCCAATGAAAAATCGTACATGGGAAGATACAAAACCACTTCATTTAACCAATAACTCAAATGAAACAAAACATATTTTGTCACGAAATATGTTATTTTTTAAGAAGATAAAGAATTAAAAGAAAAGAATTATTTGAATTTTTAATATCAAATAGATGTACGTTAGTATAGGATAACAGGGATGTAACAAAACATTGCAAATTTAATATTCGCGTGGAAGTCTTACGCTAATATATTTACAGAGAACGATCATCCAAATATATCATTAGTATACATCAACTTCGTGTTCGTATCATTCCGACAGGGAAAACTAAAGATCTGTTTTCTTTTTTTTTCTTAATGTATTACGATGTTCTAATTGTCGTTTTTTTCTTGTCGGAATGCTGCACACTTTGCAAATCGCTGATATAGATGATGGAAGAGACTCAATGAGCGTCAGTTGCTTATCGCGAAGAATTTTTTCGTTTAGATAAATGACGCAGATTTGAGTTAGATTCGACGGATTGCACAACAATTTTGCGATACGTTAGCACCTAAACGAAACATCGCTTACAATGCAAAGATACGTGGATCGCGTGTTGGTGTCCCGTCAAATAGAAAAATAAATAAATGACTATTTACAAGATGGAAAATGAATCTGTGCGGGTTCCACCGCGATTCTAGTACTAATATAAGCTACGATTCGATAGACGTTACTATTAGTACTTCATGTAACATCCAACTTTACATCGTAGATGCGCTATTAACATGACTTTATAATTACAATTGCTTTATGAGAATGTATTCTAAATACCATACTCGAATTCTCTACGCACGAATTTTATATTTTTTTTTGGTCTTTTTTATTTTTAAATTGATATCTTTTTGTTCGATCTTTAGATAATTCGTGTTTATTCTTTTTATTGTAAGAGCGGATTATGTCTCACGGATATGTTTTGAACCAGGGATACTAACCGTCGCTGAACTCGAATCGTGTATGTACACTTATTATTTGACGAAACGGTTATTCCAATTTATAAATTAAAAATAACTTATAATTAATCTCATTTTGTATCCGTTGACGAAACACGTAGGTATGTTCCATTACACAAATACTATATACAAAATACAAAATAGAAAACAATATATAACATAACAAAAATCACACAATAATATAATATTATAAGAAAAAAAAAAAGCTACGTAGAGAGCCGAATCCGGTTGCGGTTACGGTTAATATCCCTGTTTTGAACTACCTTCTGGTGATTGTCTTTACATACATTTTTTTTTTAACCGCCCATTTGAATCGACAAGTTCTTTTCCCCTTTCACCGTTCATGGATAAAAAAATATTCAGCAAAATGATTGATGTATAACCTTCGTTTTTTGAGAAGCACGGGGGAAAGAGAAAAAGGGAGCGTGCCGTGATGTAGTTGTTGCTTATGGCGGTAAAAACTACATTATTTCGACATATTTTTTATGCGTAAAAAATGTGGTTTAATTCTGATTACGTTGCTTGTTGCAGATGATAGGAGAAACGTGTGAATTAATAAAAAAATCAATAAAAAATTTAGTATCTCGAAAAGATATTCATCTTTGTAGATTTTCTAATATGGTTCATGGATGATGAAATGGTAAAGTTTGTCACTGAAGTTAACGATGACGGTTACAGTTGTCCTAAATATTTGTAAATTTTCTTCAATCCGTTTACCATAAGGAAATTTGAAAAATTATGCACGGATATGTTCGTTTAACGCTCTTCAATTCAATCGAAAAATTCGTATCTAGGACATAGAGTGTCTCGTTACAAGACTGACGATAGAAAGGACGTAATATTTCGGTTTTATTTATCTGTTACTAATGAAATGACTGGTTTGAGGTTAATGACTCCGATCGAGAATCGCGAATCATAATTATTTGCGGAATTGCGGGAAGATGAGACGCACGTGTTGACACGTGAGGGCGCGGTTACCGTTCGATAGGAAGATCGATATATCGAAGGGGGGAGAAGCTCGAGTCGAATTATATCGCACTGACGATAGTATCGCGATGTCTTTGCGCCATTATTCCGACCTGACAACTGTCTGCGCTTGATCTTGGACTAATATTGCATTCGATCATAGATCCATTTCGTTTTTGTACGACCACGGATCGAAATTCTCCGCACTCGCTAGTTGACGGTTGGTTTCCTCGGGCACGTGCACCCTTTGTAAGAATTCTCTTGAATGCTTCTCGGAACTCTGTGTTAAAGATGCTGTAAATGATCGGATTGAAGGCCGAGTTGCTGTAGCCGAGCCAAGTGAGTACCTGTTACATAGCAAACTTTGTTTCTTTTCATGCACAAGTTCTTTTCTTTCTTTACTTTTTTTTTTTGTATAATCGTAGTATTACACTAAGAGCCGTTTGAAAATATATTATTATTATAATTGCTATAAATAGTAAACGTTAAGATTCATTTCTGGAACGTTTATGAAAAGAAGAAATATTCGTACTTGGAACGCTCTGGGTGATATGCAAGTCTTGCAATATGCAGTGATGATATTTACGCAGAAAAAGGGTACCCAGCATATTAAGAAAACACCCATAATTACACCCACTGTTATGGCGGCTTTATGATCGGACACGTGATAAGGACTTGTCGGCTTCGTTTTTGTTTGTGGTTTTGATGGTTTATTCCGAGTACTTTTCGCACGAAAACTCTTGGCCATTGAGGTGTCCGGCAGTTTCGTTACTGCACGGATACTTTTTACGTGTTTCTGTGCGTAGCAATAGAGCCTGGAAACACGAAATCGTGCCTTTGAATCTTATGACAAATTTCGGTAATTAAGATCTCGGGCCAATTTTATGAGTACGTTTCCTTAAGCATTATATCTCGAGCTTACCTGCAATAAATTCCCAGCATTACGATGCAGGGCACGTAAAAAGATATGGAAGAGGAGACTACCGCATAGGTGGGTGTAAGATCTAAGGCGCACGAAGGATGTTCCTGAAAGATGAAACAATCGAACAGTAGACGTAGAGTTGTTCAAACAAAAATAATCGTTCTTTCATACATCATACCAGGTATATCGAATTTCGAAGGTGTAAAGAATAAATAGTTAGAATAACTTTCGTTTTCGTTCTTTCAAGATATATCGAAAATTGAACGTCGCGATTAGACGTATTTATCGTACATACCTCTTTGACATCGTCATAAGTTACAGGCTCATTTGCTCGGTGAAGGCCTAGGCTGATTGGCACGAAGGATATGAGTCCTGCGAGTAACCACACGATAGCGATTCCAGCACCCGCGACTCTTTTCGTCACCCAACGGCCGTATCTGATTGCGAAACGAGACAAAAGCTTATTTCAACGATCAAGAGAAGACAGAAATGACAAATAGAGTGGAGTATTGCGCGGAATACTCACCTAAGAGGATCCTTTATGTGAATGTAACGGTCAAGAGAGATTGCGCAGAGATTCAGAATAGAGGCAGTGCTGCACATAACGTCAAAGGCGATCCAGGTGTCGCAGAATCCCGGACCAAATACCCAATAACCGAGGAGATCATTCACCCCGGCAAAAGTCATAACCAGACAACCAACGAACAGGTCGGCGGTAGCGAGGGAGGCCAGGAATAAATTTCCTATTCTCCGTAAACCACGGTCCGTGTATATTGCCACGCAGACTAAAATATTGCCCGCGACGGATAAAAATATCAAGATCAGGAAGAGAAGTCCTGAAAGAATCGGGCGAACAAACTGGACTAGTGGAGAATCGATGGAGTTTGCTCAAACAGTATCACTCACCCCTCGAAGAGCTGAGTTGAGATGCATCGAATGTATGGTGATATCAGACACTTTTTACGATATAACAATAGAAAGATTCGTAAATGAATGGTAAACCTTGGGGATACAAATGATTAGATATACCATTTGTGTTTCAGAGAAAGCAAACGACATGAATGCGAGATGCATTATTATAGATGGGAGAAAAGGACAAGAAAGATTGATGATATATTCCTGTTACGGAAGAAAATGTTAAATATTTAATATCAGATTGGCAGAATGAACAAATTTTATGCACAGGAAAGTATGAAAAGTATAACGAAATAACGAGAGATAAGAGGAAGGCGAGAAGAAACAGAATAGAGAATGAAATTGGTAGGAAATAGAAGGATATAGTGAGCTTGGATCAAAGTTTTCGAGTGAAGGGCCTCTCAGAGGGTGGTTGTCTTCGAGGGGCGAGTCGCGATCGATCAAATGGGAAGTTTAGCGAACCAACTAGAAGCACCGACAACAGCGAGAAAGTGTCTTCAGGCAGATCTTCTTTCCCGTCTGTCTGGTTGTTCTGTAAACAGATAAGGACATTTTCTATGTACGCCAAATCTTTTGTTACATGGTAATTAATAACTATACTAAATGATTTTCTTAATTTTAATGCGTATAATCGAAGGATATTTTCTCGGATAATTTTATGGGACGCGTACGAGCAGTTCTTCGTTATTTTCTTGTCTCCTTTGCAGCTCATTTTTCTCTTTTCTCTTTCTTCTCTTGCCTATCTAAAAATGTAGCACGGGTTTCTGATTGAGAATGGCATACTGCAACGTGCACGTACACGTTGCTACTTCTATTTTCTCCTTATATTTTCCCGATATTTTACGCCAAAGCTGTAGATATACCGGGAATACTTTCGAGATTTGTATTCACGGAAAATCGATATTACAGACGGACCAAGATGACGTTGGATTTACAGGCTCTTTACTTCTGCTTGAACGCGTTGTCTGTCAAGCCGTTCTATCCCATCTCGAAGAAACGTAAAAATATCGCGAGATGAAGGGTGTCAGGATAAAACTTCTATTACGTGTATCTCTATGAGCTACTATGAGGTCTACCGTCGGTTTCTAGAGGTTTACTTTCCCCTTATTAACTCGCATTAATGCGATCTTTCCTCCCGTTTTCTATCGTGTAAATATTTTGATTTTGTGCTTGTGTACGTAAAACATTCGATGTTCGTGTTATCCACGTCGGATATATTTCTTAACTTTCCTTTTTCTTTGAACTTTCATTTTTCTGTCGGTTTCACCTCTTCTTCCAAATAATATCTAGTACGTCAGGCAATGACCAATAAATATTCATGGGTTGTATCTAACATCGAATGAA